GCCGCCATTGCTGCTTGTTCCAGTGGAGCCCGGTGTGTATAAAGATGCCATGCCTTCAATGCACCACACCACTGGGAGCCGCAGACAGCCTTGTATTTGGGACGTGAGTGGCTGTATATCTTTGTGGGTGGCATGTCAAGGCTGGTCGTCCAATCTGGCCTTTTTTTTGCCTTTGGGATCTACAAAAAATAACAGCCCATCTCTCCCGCTGCTCCCTCGGCTTTTCACTTATTGTCACCCGACTGATGCACCTATTCCAGTTTTACAAGTTGTATGAGGTGACGTTTCTGCTTTTCTCGCTGTGAGTGGCCTTCGCTTGAACTGCTTGTACAGGAAGGAATGCATTGTGTAAACTAGGAAGCTTTGAATATTTTTGACCTAGAACGGCACAAGGATAAAAGTCAACATCCCCCTTTGTTCTCATTGTTGTGGTTATAGCTTCCACTGCAGGATCCTGGTAGTTGTGCAATGATACGAGGTATTTTCTTAATACCTTTTTTAAGGAAAGAACCGCCCTCTCCACTTTTTGAACAAAACTTTCTGGTCTTAGTTGACAAGCAGGTATCACCAGAATGATTGACAATTGGGAGGATCTGGATTATCCACTCGGAAGTATAAATATCTATACATACCTCTACACCATGCAACCAGGTCCAATTCCAAATTAAAATTATAGTGTGTTTCTCTATTGTCTGAATAGGGTCTAACGTGTACTCTCGTGTATCACAGAGTTTTTATTCTTGTTGTCACGTGGTGAAAACAGAAGACCGATCCAAAATGCAGAAATGCCAAAGATATGATTTAATGAAGGAAATATATAAAAGTTAAAAGAACCAGGAACATGGACAGATATTGACGATGACCAGCACAGGGTACATACAGGTGAAGCACAGGGGAGCAGGACAGCACTTCAAAAAGTGTTGAAAAATAAGTCAGAAATGGCTCAAATTTGAGCACATTTTGACTGTCTAATAACAGCATTTGACAATGGGACAAGCACAAGTATCTTGTTTTAAGCTCAGAAAAGTTGGGGAACTCTGCTTTAAAGTATGGCCTCTAAATGTGTTTAACTTCTTCAGTCAAATCATATTATTTAGAACTCCGTGACTTCAATTTAGCCTCATTCCCACCGAGCAAACACACAGGAATTTTGTCCACAACCCCTTCCTCTTCCTTACACACTGAACAACACAAGCCAAAGAGTATACAGCAAAAACCTGTTTGCAAGTACGAAGTTTGTTCCTTTCTTCCTTATAGTGAAAAGCCAAAACAGGTCCAAACAACACAGAAACCTTTCTCACTGTTGTCCTGGGTCAACACGCCATGGGGCCATGGTAGGAAAAAAGCCTTTAGAATTGAATGTAATTTTCCATTTCTGCCCCTAGATAACAGCTTTATCACATGCTAAATTCTTATCATTTCTACTTAAGAAACTATTTCACATTCTACAACTAACACCAACATTCTCAAGATCACATTTAAGGGCCAACATGACCACAATGCCTAACATTTGTTCTAAAACTCCATAAAAAGGGCTAAAATCAGAGTCATCCAACACAAGAAATCTATTGGCTCATCACCTGGACCCAATCAATATCTCATCATGAATTAACCAGGTCTTCCCTACACTATACAGAGCGTACTGTACGTAAACCACTGTTTGAGACCCAGTGTAATACAGTATATTTTCCTCCCAGTGCCGGCCTTATACCTTCCATCGATGATGAGACCTCAATCTGCTCACTACTGCTTTTATGGGGGGCATATTGAAGACTCAGGCAAGCAGAGCAAATGGCCAAAAGATAGTGGCCATAAAAGTGAGATGATGCCTTCCTTTACCTTAACAGCAGCAGCTCCAAAATATGTGTCAATGCCAAACTAATGCTTTATGCTTGTACATCGCTTTTAAAGTATGTTTTTAAAGAAAATCATTCAAATGGACCACGTTGTTAAAGCAGACATTTAACCCCGTATTGGTTGACCCAGTGCTGGGGTTGAGTGAAACATCTTTGAGTGTCCAAAGTTAGTTATATTAGTTAAATGGATTGTTTTTGATTGGTTTTATTTAGGGAACGCCCCTTGAGATGCAGAATCTCATTTTCGAGAAAGTCCCATGAACGTAAAACAAACCCTGTTAAGCTTAATGAACGTAGGTTGGCAGTGCTGCATGATTGGCCGAGGGTGGAGGGCTGGCTTTGATGGCTGCAGCAGGTAGCCTATCAGATTGAATCTAGGCAGGCTGCTTCTGTACTAGCCAATCAAATGGATATAGAAATGTAGAAATGGTAAATAATACATGTTTTACTCCATTTCAGCACAGTGTTAAATGGACAGTATTAATCAAAGAGTCTTTAGATTAAATGAGATTACAATGTACAAATATGAGCCAACATTTCACAAATAGTGTCAACGCTGGATTTACTTTTGAGGTCATTGTTGAGGCCAAAAATGAAAAATGCTGTCCTCAAACTGAATCTGTTTGAGAACCATTTGGAATACGCCCAAAGGTCTTGAACTCCTTGTGAAGCTGAGGCCCTGTAGTATTGACTCCTTTACTTTAATTACAAGTGATTACAATCTCTGCACAGAGAAAGATAAAATTCCAAAGTGGCCTACATGGTGTAAAGTGAAAATAAACTTTGCTATAGCTGGTGTTTGAGAGTTGGCTCTAACTGTTGGGTTTCAACACAGATAAAAATCCTTGTCAACTGTTATATCTCTCCCTCTGTCTCTCTCTTGTCTCTCCCTCTGTGTGACTCTCTTTTTCTCTGTCTCTCTCTCTCTCCATCTCTCTCTGTCTCTCTCTCTCTGTCTCTCTCTCTCTCTGTCTCTCTCTCTCTCTGTCTCTCTCTCTCGCTCGATCTCTCTCTCTCTGTTTCTGTCTCTGTCTCTCTCTCTCTCGCTGTCTCTCTCTCTCTCTCTGTCTCTCTCTGTCTCTTTCTGTCTGTCTCTCTCTGTCTCTCTCTGTCTCTCTCTCTCTGTCTCTCTCTCTCTTTCTGTCTCTCTCTGTTTCTCTCTCGCTGTCTCTCTCTGTCTCTCTCTCTCTCTCTCTGTCTCTTTCTCTCTCTGTCTCTCTCTCTCTCTGTCTCTCTCTCTCTCTCTCTGTCTCTTTCTCTCTCTGTCTCTCTCTCTCGCTGTCTCTCTCTCTCTCTTAAATAAGAGGGACACATTTTTATGTTGATCATTTCTATCTCCAGGAGTGTGATGTTTTTGTATGATTCTATTGGCGGACAAAAAGTTATTTGTGTGTATCTATGTGTCATTGTGCCATGAAAACCACTAAATAACTAATGTATTATTATGTCAATGTCAGGTTTATTTGTATAGCACATCCACAAACAACACCAGCTGCCCAAAGTGCTTCACAGCCACAAAGAAAAAAGGTAAACAGAAAACAGCATGATATACTCTCAAACACATGTAAAATATAATAAAACAATAAAATTCAGTTGTTGTCAAATGTTGATTTGACAAGAGCATACAAAGAAAATAGTTCTGTCATATATACAGGGGCTAATCCATTATTGTTATTATTATTATTATTGTTTATTATTATTATCCATCGTGGCCCTAAACATAATGCATTTTTTTTATGTATGTCCCCTTTAATTCAAACCATAGGAAAGGCAATTACGCACACACGCACACCACCCATGCAGGTGCAAATAGAAAAAAAAAAGTTGACTCCAAGCTCAACCCAGAGGAGAGACATCAGCGACATCCCAGTCTGGAGAACAGTCACAGGCCCCGTCCCAATACTCGCACTTCCACCCTCGCGCCCCTCATTTGCGCGTTCCCGATAAAGGGTGCGAGTGCGTAGGGTGTCCCAATTCTCCAGGGAGGTCTTTGGCCCAGCCCCCTTTGCGCCCCCGATCCACACTTCGCCGTAGCCTGCATCAATGCGCACTCTGGCGAAGGATATTGCCCATAATTCTTTGCGGTACACACCAAAACGACGGGAAAATGCATTTAAATATACATTTTGAAATATATATGCAGTATGTGTGTAAATAAGTTTTGCTATGTTACTTGGAAAGAAGCATAAACGTCTGAAGAAGAATTACGGACATTGTGTTTTAACAATTTAATAACTTTTTAAAACAAGCGTTTATATAACATTCAATTTAAACTTTACACTTAGTACAATAATCTTAGAATGTATAAAAACTGACCAGATAACAGTTAGTTACCCACATTTAACTTAAAATTATACAGCTATCTCTAATTAAAAACAACTAATGTACATGTATTTTAACGTGTGTGAAGCAATTCATTTTGTTTCCCAAAGGGTCAGACAAAATTACCTTTAATGTTTATAAAGTTTAGGTCTGAAAATGACCATCTATAGACGAGTCGATGACGTATCCTGCTCTCAGTGTGCACTGTCCCAATTCCGCCTTTTTTGCACACTTGTAACCTGCGCACTCCAACCCTGGTGTGCACTTCCAACAAATGCACACGTCGTAGAGGTGTGTAGGGTGCAGTGTGGGTATTGGGACTGGGCCACAGTGCACACTCTCCCTCCCTTCCTTCCTCCCTCTGCGTGCGCGTCTGCAAAGCCATTATGCGACCTGCGGATTCATAAAACTTGGAAGTCCCGCCCACCTGCCACACGATCCAGCCCTCTGCCAGTGTTTACGAAAAGTCACGGGAGCAGCGTGGATCGCCCGCTCACACCTCCACCTCCAGAGGAAACACAGATTCTACCGGTGGTGGCTGCGAGCGCACGGAAGAAGAAACCGGAGTCTTGCGTCTTTGCGTCTCCAAGACAAGAGATATACAGCGTGCGCGTGTTTGTGTGTATATATTCGTGTACCGACTTGAAGTTTGACTCAAAGGGAAGTAGGTTTTCATGTTTGATGCATTGTCTACTTTGTTATTAAGCCATGGCGCGGCGTAAAAGGCGAATTCTGTACTTGGATTAGCACGGGGAGAAGCAGAAGCGACCTCTGCTGCTGCCTCTGCTGCCGCTGCTGCTGTTTGGACGGGGACGCACGGACATGGAAAGCCTCTCCGAGAACCCAACGCGGGCTTCGGAATACCTGAACGAGCTGAATAAGATCATCGAGACGCAGCAGGAGTTGTTGGAGAGGCAGAGGGGCAGGATCGAGGACCTGGAGCAGCAAGTGGCCGACTTGTGCACGGAGAATGTGTGTTTGAAGGAGCAGTATCAACGGCACCTGGCAACGTGCAGGATACAGCTGGGGAACAGCCTGAGCGCGCTGGGGGCCATCAAGGAGCACAGGTAAGCGACATCACATCAGTACCAGCACCAGTACCAGTATCAGTGCCCATGCAGGCGTGCGTGTGGAGGCTCTGCGTGATGGACTGACGCGTGGTGGTCAAGTTTTTTCCCAATGCACAGTGTGTTATGTGATGCACTTTGACTTTTTGAATGTTTAGTGTCATGTCATGTCCCAAGGTTCAATTCACCTCAAAAACATACTTAAATGTGTTGACATCTAACTGTTAAATCATCATTGGTGATATTAAAGCTGGGGTACCTAGAACATCATATTTTGTTTTTTATATATTAAGATATTTTGCGTACACGTTGAGAACAAATCAGACCACGGCATGCTGTCCTCATCCAAATAGAAAATGATGTTATCTTTTGCATTCTTGTAAGAAAGAGAACTGTTGTGAGTGGCTTTGCACTGAGAGCTGATTGGCTGAGTGAGGTTTGATGCGTTTTGTTTCACTTTGTCTGAAAAAGCGGATCTAAAGATGTGACCGAGGCCAAAAATATACATGAAAGTATAGAACTATTACAATAACTGTTGTGAGAATGAGGAACTAGTTAGATTTTTATTATGTTGAAAAATGCATACCCCAGCTTTAAGCATCTGCAACTGTATCCACCACCTTCCCAAGCCTCAACCAGCAAAAAACCCACACTTTTCAATTCATTTTAATCCAAAAACGACCTATAACCAGCTTCAATACTTGTGCAGATGGTTGTGAATAGCTTATTTCGCTTGTTGGCCTCTGCTGCGTTGCAAACACGAGACGAGCTGATGCATGCCAACTTCTTATACTTACTAACTAGCAACATGTCAATTGTTTTACACGGTACATTGATTCTTGCTGATGAGAAGCAGGCTAGCTGTACGTCTTAACTTTCAGTCGTCTGTTTATCTTTCCTGTAATGTACATCAAGCCCTGCGACTATGGCCACGCTGATTCTCTTTTTGCTGTGTCATCTTTCTCTCATCTGTAACTTTAAACCTTTACTTTGTTCCTCCTTCCGTGGGAAACTTCATCTGTGATATATGGACCGCACTGTCCGTCCTGCTAACCTATGGGACTTCCCTGGATATAGACGGGGTTTTATTTTAAGAGTTGCACGTGCCAGCTTTTGCCCCCTCCTCGCCGGATTGAATGCATCGGACGGACCTGTACATGAGGAGTGCAGCTTTAAAAAAGACCTTCATAGAGGGATATAGGGGACTCTGGGGATTAGCCGCTAACCTCTCAGGCTTCACACTCCACTGGATAAATGTACAAAAAGTCCCGGGATGTAGGCGCTTAACTGGCTTGTGACGGTTTGGTAGGATCCCGTGGACGAGCGTGACCTTTGTCTGCAGGGGGCATGTTGGAGCCATGAATACTGGTGGCGGCAAATCAATACAGATGAGGCTGTACACTCTGTCTTTACCAGAGCAGAGGAGATTAGGACGTTCTGCACTGTTCATAAATCAGAAATGTAGCAGCGCTGGCAACATCTGTGTTTGATCGTGGTCTCGTTACCAATGTATCATAATGTGTCCTGTAGAGATTGTGCTTTATTGTGTGGTGAGGAGTGGAAAGGTGACTTTAACCTTTTGATGGTTCCCTCAACACTTTGCTGTATCACTTTTTGAGTCTATCTACTTGAAGCGTGCGTGGAACTGAAATCTACCACATTGGGGCATCTCTATCACGTGATGTTGAGCATTTTATACCATTAAGCTGCAACAAAACTAGGGGTGAAAAGAGGGAAATGTTATTACTGCTCCAACATCTTAGAAAATACCCCCAAAAATGACTTTGCTTTCTTCAAGGAATGAACATTAAAAGGGTTAATCTGGTGTATCTATCTTTTTAAAATGGAAACATAATACAAAATAAAATGTTATGAACTAATTAGACAACAACAGACTTGTCAAAATCAGGCCCGCAGGTGAAATCCGCCCCGCAAGACCGATTTCAGAGGGCCCTGAAATGATTTTAAATGATTATAATAAGTTGCCGTAATAAAAAAGAAAAAACACTTTTATTCTTTTGGCCTCCAACCCCGTTACATTTTTTTATTCGCCCCTCAACCTCAACCAAGTCGTTAAGAAAGCTCGTCAGCGTCTCTACTTTCTGCGTAAACTTAGAGAATTTACCACTAACTCTAAGATTCTGCTTAACTTTTATCGCTGCACCATTGAGAGTTTACTTGTTGGTTCTGTGTCTGTGTGGTTTGGAAACATCACAGATAAAGAAAAGAGAGCTTTAAACAAGGTGCTCCGCTCTGCAAAGAGGACTGTGGGCTGTGAGCTTCCTGTTCTGGAGGTTCTTTATAAATCCAGACTTTTAAACAAAGCTCTTAGGATTGTCCATGACTCTTCTGGCCACCCTGGAACAGCCATGTTCCAGCTTCTTCCCTCTGGCAGAAGATATCGCTCTCTGAGATGCAGGACATCTCGTTACGCTAACAGTTTTTATCCACAAGCTGTTATCAGTGTGAACAGAGCACTTTCATGTAGGGATGTAAAAAACTATGAATTTTCATGACCGACCACCGAGCCTCATTAACCGGTTGAAACCGGTTAACCGCGTAGTTTAAAATAGTCCACGGTCTTTGAAATAACAGCCATTTCGAGCCGCGTACTTTTCATAAGTGCAGCTCTGCGTTCTACTGGATCAGAGTTGAGACAGCGGCGCCCAAACCCGCAACAGCTCCGACACCTTTGCGCACAGAGAACTGCTGTTTTAATCTTCCCATTCTGCTGTGCTGCGGGTTAATACCAAAACGTTCTAGCAGCAAACGACGGCTCGTTCACATGGTCAGAGCAGCGAGTGATGAGCCGCGTCTCACAGGTCTTCACAAAAGTTTAAATACAAGTGATGTGTGTGGAGCTGATCCCGAGGACCATAAACACAAACATGTTCCATGTGGTTTGACTGGAGCCGTGTATTTGCGCGAATCCTTTGGGCTCCGTGACACAGAGGAGCGCGACAGACCGGTATGTGTGTGTGTATGTGTGTGTGTATGTATGTGTGTATGTGTGTGTGTGTAAATGTAAGCTCCAATGTAGTTCTGACCCGCGCCAGTGTGCAACTTTGACGGTAACAGAGGGGAGAGATGATGCGTGTGGATGTTACGTATGGAGAGGGGGAAAGTGTGTGTGTGTGTGTGTGTGCGTGCACGCATGCGTGTGTGCATATGTGGCTCGTGCGGCGTGAGAGTCGTCCCGGAGTTTATAATACATGGGCGCACACAGCTAGATACAGACCCGCTCGTCACACCGTGCAAATAGGGCTTAAAATAGCGTTATTAAGAGACCTCCCCTCTCCCCGTTTTCTCTTTTTTAACCGACAGCTTTGACCGGTTAACGCTGTGACGGTCAACCACCGGTTAAACGGTCGCCGATTTACATCCCTACTTTCATGATTTGCACTTGTTTTGAAACTGTTTTAGTCGATTGATTTCACAGTGACATTTGTTTACTGTTTTATTTGTTTTATTTTTGTCTTTTAATGTTGTTTTATGTCTGTATTTGTCTGTGCACACTGGAGACTTTTGCTAATGTATTCCTATGTGGTTTTTTTTACTGCAAATGGCAAATAAACTGAATCTGAAAATGAGTTTGACACCCGTGGACTACAACATGATAATTGTTCTGGTTTTAAATTGGACTCTCAAAGACACTTTACATTATTAATCTACTCCATACACAGTGGTGATAAACTTCTAGCCACAGCTGTCCTGGGATAGACTGACAAAACAGGGAAAACAGTCTGTGTCATCTGCCCCTGTTTGGAGTGATTTAAAAATATTAGTCCAAGAGCATTGTAAAACTCTTTCTTTAAGATAAATAAATATATATGGTTAAGCTAAACTTTATTGTGCCCATAGAGAAATCTCTCCTCCACATTTGACCCATCCTTCCAAAGCCATGAGGGCGACCTGTCAATAGCAGTGGTTACTACTGCAGGGACCATTTACAGATGTTGATGCTCAGCTGCATGGAATAGAAAACATTTCAGTGGTCGCAATTTGCAAATCGCCAGGACTGCGGTTCCCCCACTAATATAGGCTTCATTCATTCATTTAAGGCCTTTGCGGAAACATAGTGACACATTTGCCACATTTTAGCCTTAATTTGACCTTTTGTTTTTACTTTTGTCTTAAAACTTTTCTTTCACCTTTTTCGTCCTTTCAAGAGAGACCTTTCCCCAACAAAACCGTAAATAAATAAATTATAAAAAATGCGATTTATTTTTAGGAATGTAGCTTTAAAGTGATGAGTGAATGCCATGGGTAGCCCCTATTACCCACCGTCAATGCTTAATAATAATTATAATAATACATTTTATTTAAAAGCCCCTTTCTAAACACCCAAGGACACTGTATACAGCATAATAAAAACATGAAAAACAGGATCAACAGAATAAAACAGTAAAGTACAATATGGAATGGTGGGTGTGTGTGTGTTAGGTGGGGTAGGACAGTCTGAACAGATGGGTTTTGAGTCTGGATTTGAAGAGTGGGAGAGAGTCGATGGTACGGAGGTCAGGGGGGAGAGAAAGTAGTTGACCATATTTTTGCGGGCCTTTAACATCGATCTTGTGACATGGATCCCTTGAAACACTGATCTAACTGACCAGACCCATCCCTTGTATGGCCTATTTACTTATTGGTTTGATAACGCTGCAAGTTTAATCATGCCCTTTCCCCTCGAAACGGTAAACATCAAGTGTCGACAGTTTATTTTTTTCCCATCACTAATGTACTTTCCTTTTATTTTCTATCCCAGGAGTGTAGTAGCAATAAACCACATCCTGTTCCAACAAATGTCTGTGTTTTGACACTTCCCCGGTGCCAACTGCACCTACAGCGATCAGTGGTTGTGAGACAGAGAACTTTTTAGAAGCAGAGTTAAAGATTGGTTTAGCTTGGTCTATTTTTTAAGACATGGATGTAATTGTGCTGTACTAGTGTGTATTTCTCTAGCCCCAAAGCTTCATTTGGTCTATTGCTGCTCTGGTGGTGTTGAAT